TCAATGAAATAATATGATAATGATTTCGTAACATCGTGCTACAATGAAAAGAATACACACCACTCTCCTTGTAGTGTAAATATCGCATAAATCTGTTCTCAAGTCGAGACTTATATATGGTATATTGAGGACTTCATACAATAGATGCAAAATTAGTTATGCTGTGCACATATGCAAAATATACAGACTTAATAGCAAAAATCGACCTAAAATTTTTGCAAACTCTAACAATGAAACCAAGCATTTTGTTGTTTTTTAAAGTTATATAATCAATTTGTGAAGAAAACCTCATTTTCCTGTCAAATACAACCCCAAGATCTTTTATTTCTTCAACTTGATTTAAAATATTCTTATTAAAGTTATAATTATTAGAGTATATATTTTGGTTACGGGTAAAACAAATATAGAAGCATTTACTCAAATTTAATTGAAGCTTGTTCAATTTACAGTATTCAAAGAAAGAGTTTAAATCTTCCTGATAGCCAATACAATTATCGGAATTATTTATTTGAGAGTAAATTTTCCAATCGTCTGCGTAGAGTAAAAATTTACAAAATTTGAAACAGTGACGAATATCGTTGATATATATTAAAAATAGTAAAGGTCCCAAATGTGATCCCTGAGGAACACCTGACATTGCAACGTAGGGGGGAGATTTGTAACCACTAATAGTTACCAATTGCGCCCTATTGAAAACATAAGAGGTAAGCCATCTCAGTAGGTTACCATGTGTACCAATTTCAGACAATTTAGATATAAGTATATTATGATTAATTTTATCGAATGCTTTGCTAAAATCGGTATACACGGCATCCACCTGAGTCTGGTTATCCATAGCACTTGCAATATATTGGGACTTTGTTACTAAATTGGATTCAATAGATCTATGTGGAAAGAATCCATGTTGCTCAATAATTATAGACGATTTAACCGCGCTAAGTAAATGCTTGTAACATATACGTTCAAAAATTTTACTAAGAATATTTAATTTACTAATTGGCCGATAGTTGTAAACTTCGTTTTTATCACTTTTTTTGTAAATAGGAATCACAAAAGCTTGCTTCCATGTGTCAGGAAAATCTCCTTCTTCAAGAGACTTGTTAAATAACAAAGTGAGAGGGTTACAAAGGGAATCTGCACATTTTTTTACAAAAAATTGAGGGAATGCCGTCAGGTCCGGCCCCTTTGTTTTCGTCCAGTTCGATTAAAGTATTTAACACTTCGTCTCTCGTTACAATTACATTGTTAATATTATTGATATTATTGCAATTATTGATTTTAATAGGACACTGGTCATACGGTTCATAGACACTTTGAAAAAAATTGGCAAAATGCGTACAAATGTTTACACCATTGAAAAAAAAATTATCGCCATGTTTAATAGAATTAGGAAAAGAACCACGACCTTTTTGAGAAGAAGCATACTGCCAAAATTTTTAGTGTTTTTAGGTATCGCATCTTCTAAAGATTTTATATAATTAAAATAATATTTACGTATGGTCAAGGTTCAAGGTCATATCAAGATCAAGTCGGTTTTTTAAATGGCGACCCTCATTTTCGATCCCGGAAATGGAAGGAGCAGAAAATTGTGCATCCGAATATGGCATTGACCGTGACCTCAAGGTTAATGGTCAAGGTCAGTTCAAAGTCAATTGTTGATGATGTTGTATTTTTTTTTTCTTTTTAACAATGGATCCTGGAGTGACAGTCTTTGAGTAGATACTTAATGGTACTTCTTGGTACCTTGATCTTCGATTTTGCCATGAATGGCCGAATAATTCCCCACTCTTGCCTTCAGTGGTCGGATTATTTCCTACTCTTGCCTTCAATAGTCGTATTATCTTTCAATTTTAAGGTTAGGATTTCATAGGCTAACTCGACCATCTGCGACTACTAAAAAACTGTCTCTTCTCTCTTGACCTCTACCTGACCTTGACCATTGATCTTAAGGTCGCGTTTAAGATCATAATAACATCTAAAATTCTACACTATTCTTATTGCTAGCGTCGATTCTAGCGTCGAAATACGCCAAAAACCGACATGACCTTGATATGTTCCTTCAACTTTGACCTCAACATCAAAGTCACTAAGGAGTACCATTAGGTATCTACTCAAAGAATGTTACTCCCTTCGATTCCGTAGTTAAAAATAAAAAATTTCAGCAAAAATCAACATTTGACTAACTTTGACCATTGACCTTGTGGTCAATATTCGGATGCAGAAATTTCTGCTCTTTACCTTTCCGGGGTCGAAAAGGAGAGTCGCCATTTGAAAAAAACGACATGATCTTGATACGACCTTGAACCTTGACCTTGACCTCAAGATCAAGGTTATCGTGAAGCATACTGAGATTTTTGTCCTCACCATTTATCCCAAATATGCTTTCCCGCTGAGATATTTGGGGGTATCCATACTTTTGACTAACCCTGTATGTTGCAGTAGAAAACACAATAATTAAAAAATGAAACTATAGTGTTTAGTATCTAATGGATCGTAGAATATATGACAGGTACTTGTAGATATATTACTACTCCTGCCAAACTAGCCACATACATATCTTATTTTTAGCAATATACATTAAAATTTAAATTGCAAGATATGTTTCTAATAAATAATGTTCACTTAACAAACGTAAAAATTTTAAGATTTTAACATAGCTCGTTGCATAGGATATTGAAAAATACATGTGCCATCAATCATCAAATAATTCCTTATCCAAAAATAAAACCTTCTTGATTACGTTCAGTTCGTGTTTCATTTCTGGAGTAGACTGTGTTAACTTTCTTTATTTTTTCGACTTACGCAACAGAAATGGAAAGGGTGGCCAAAACAAAAAAGCTAAATTTCTACCCTATTAAATTACATTACAATGTTTATATTTTTATAAGGTAAGGTTCTGATCAATAGATTTTGCTTAGAGTTGACTCCTACAATCCCTGAAACATTATAAGTGAGTACATACAGGTATTTTTTTTTTCAAAGTAATTACGCGTATTATTTATTATCAAATGATATCCATTGCATAGTACACAGGGCCCGCCCGTTAAATATGTAGATATATCTCAAAACTTCTAAACTATACTCGGAGGCCGAAATTATAAAGAGTGGCTAATACATAATATAAAAACACTATTACCATAATTCGTATAAAATATAAAATGATTTCTATACGGTTCAATATTATTTATCTTTGTGCCGCTCGCTATGCACATTGGTAGAATCTATAATCGTGTATAGACTGAGTTACACTGAACGTCGATCTATATTTTATCTCTGTCTTTTGCACTTGGTGGGGGGAATAGGGAAATGCTTTTTTAGTGGGTGTAAACGGACTTGATTTGCCCGACCTGAGAAACGTCATAGCATAAGCGTAGACGAGGGGTCTAATTCCATGGCTATAATAAATTTATAAATTAAAAAAACACAACTGGGACGTTTTAAAATGCTGTAATAATTAAAATTGATCAAAGTGCCGGTTATAGCAAACCGTAAAAAATATTAGATGTTATGTTTTATTATGTTTTTTCAATATTTTCTATATCTTGTTGCCTTTTACGCAGACACGCCAATGGATTTTCGTTCCCGGCACGCTTCATCCCCCTTACTAGTCCAAGAGCTAGCGATGAATCACTATCTATAATTTTGGCCGTCGAGTATAGTTCATTTAAAAAAACGTGATTATTACACATTTATGTAGATAATACTTTATTTTGCTATCGAATAAGCCACGTTAAGAGTTTTAATATGATATGCAGATCGATAGCTTGTCCCCTATACAGGGGACAAACAAATATATTAGAACAAAATTGATTAATTTAATCAATTTTGTTCTAATTTAATCAATCAATGTATTAATTTTTCGAAGAGAAATTGAAAATATCTGTTAGTTTCTGATTTTTTTAAAAATCCTAACTTTCAGATTTTGTCTTCTGGATTTATTTCCAGAATTTCGAAATTTCTGTTACAATTTTTTGAAACTGAAATAATTTTGTACAAAAAATATGTACATCACTGACTTTTTTGTTCTTTGATATAGACAGCGAAAACTTTAATCTACATTATGCTAGTAAACAGCAATACGCGTTGTAGTAGCAGAAATAGGCTAAATCTGTGATCCAGCAAAGAGTCAAACTCACTCACACAATCACAATTAACAAAGATTTGCACAGCCTACGTCGCTCAGCAAAAAACCTGGATTGTTCACCGGCACGCCATCACCAGGCCGACAGGGCAAGCATTAGGACGCCGCTAGATACGAATCGAATAAATTGATCGATGCGAAGCTTGTTGAACGGTCTCTTTCGTTTTTGAAATAGGTATTTACCGATCGCAGGAGACGATTAACCGCGGAACACTAAGGTAACTGTTTATCATTTTCTACAATCGCGTTCCTTATTAGTAAGAAATTATTATTTTGTTAATTTTTGCTGGTATTTATTATTACGTGATACGTGCCATACTGATATATTTTATGGTAAGTTCCATGTGAATAGTTTAGTTTAGAAAAATAGACACTACCCCTTTTTACTATAGAGACAGTTGATAATTTTACTATGAATGGTACTGGGTATCGTTATTTTTTATACATCAATCACAGTTAATCATGAAAATGGCCACTGTAATGTCACCAAATTGATGAAATGGCTGAAGTTATTGAAAGAAACTGAAAACCAGAAAATTATTTAACATCCTGTTCCTCAAAAACTGAAGCAATAACGATTGATTGGAACTTTTTGTTTTATTTTTGGATAAATTTCTTTTGAATGATGGCACACAATTTTTTAAATATCGTGACTGGAAAAATTAGTATCCCCTTTACTTAAAAAAGAGGTCTTAAATAGAGGTTTCCGAATTTATAGGTAGTAGGTATTTTGTCTTCAAAACAAAGTAAATCCAGGCTTAAAAGTTGTCTTGCTTCATGAAGTAAAAGATATGTTTTTACTCTTTGCTTGCTTATAGTACTGTCCGAAATAGAATAAAGTAACTATGTTATTGTTTACCTTTCACATAATGTCCTGTCCTCGGCAATATATCTAAATCCATGTATCCCAGTGTAATCACAATATTCCTTAAAATATAACACTGCCTTCTTGCGGGTGCTATTAGGATATCTTGGCGTTTTATCTGATTTCAGCTCCATTTTATATAATAATACAGTTGCCTGTACAAATAAATCAACCGCACTTTTCGGTTGCAAATGTGTTTCTGTTTTACGCAACACAAAATGGTGTTCAAACGAGCTACACTCACCAAAATAAATTGTTAGTATTTCAATTTGCTGCGCAATTCGCAATAAATATAGATTTTAAAAATTACTTATAAGCATTACGGAAGACTTATCAACAAATACCCAGTGGCGCACACAGACCCTAAGGCCTTAATCGACAAACTGGAATGTTAGATTTTACATATAACTATGTAGGATTAAATTATGCATTTTAGGAAACACAACTGAAACAATTAGCCCTTATGATGCTCCGTTGTATATACTAGGTATTATAAATACCTTCTCTATTTAGTTTAAAGTTTTAAGTATTATGTACATTATTTTTGGTTCTGTAAAACTCATTTATTTGGTACCTACTTCAGTTTCTAAATGATTGTTTAGTATTTACGAGAAATATTAGTCACATATTGATAGACATTTTCTTGGATGTATTTCCTATATCCAACACTGTAATAAAATATAACTGAATAAAAAGGTTAAGACAAAGAAAATGTCAGTAGATGGACATCCAAATAGTCATCACACGTATGGCATGCTGATGAGACCTAATAAATGCGAAACCGGTTTATGTCCATTGATTCTGCTGACGAATGATCGTTACTAGATATTGCATATGTAATACGATGCTGGGTAGGGCTGCAGCCCATATTTTTGGACACTTTTATTATTTTCAAAACCCAATTTGCCTTAATTTTTTTCTAAAATACTTTGCATGAAACATGTTGCTTGTGAAATGCTTGCGGATAATTGCGGACTAAAATTCAAGCTATGCTTTATTAACTAACGTGAGAAACAATTGTCACTCACTGAAATACGTTTCAAAGTGAACAGGACTTTCCAAAAATAAATGTAGGTACTGTCAAAATTTCATAACATTTGGACGAATAGAAGCGAAGTGCCAGCATATTTGTGTCATTGGTACAAAAATGAGCATCGAACAATGAGCTAATTTTAAGTTTTGTTTTAAACTTGATAACACTTTTACCGAAACATTTCAATTAATAAAACAAGTTTATTGTGATGTTTGTTTATCCTGCGGCAGAGTTCATGAATGGTATACGGGGTTTAAAAACGTGAGGACATAAAATTATGAGCAACATGTTGATCAACCGAAATCCGTGATCATCGCAGATTCCATCAAAACAGTGCCTGAATTCATCACAGATTAGGCAAAATCGTAATTGAAATTTATGGAATTGGAAATAAGCATCTCTTAAACATTAGTTAATCGCATTCAGACCGAACATTTGGGCTACCGAAAAATATGTGCAGGTTTGTTCCGCACAAGTTGACTGACAACCAATGCTCAGAATTCAGCAATCGGACAATATCAAGGAGGCAAAAAAAAACAAAAATTTCTTTTGCAGCATTGTAACTGGTAATGAAACGTGGTGTATTCAATTTGATCCAGAAACCAAGCGCCAAAGTGTCCGTATTTGCCTGATTTGGTACCTTACAACTTTTACCTTTTCGGAAAAATGCATTTGTCGATGAAAGGAAACCATTTTTTGGACGTAGAAGCCATTCAGAAGGCTTGTACCGACACCCTGAGGGACTTTCCGGACGACGCACAGTGGGGCAGAATCCCAAAAAGCTGACCAAAAGTCAAAAAATAAAGTTTCTAATTCGGTAATTTTTACTGTTGGATTGGCTAGAGTAATATCCCAAGTCTCAGAATCCATTACTATTAGGGTCAAATTCCCTATACCTGCTTCTTAAATCACTACTAAAGCGACCGCTGCTCGAGCAACACCTGGCTCGCGCGTAGGAACAGAAGTAATAGTTGTGTTTAAGTGGTTATAAAATTTTGTAAAGTTCACCGATTTATCTCTATACTCCGCGGTAGAAATTATAGAGAGTGATTCAGACATAATATAAAAACTCTATAATTTCGACCGCGGAGTATAACAAAATGGAATCATCTCATAAATGTACGTAGATTATGAATATGTAAGTTAAAATACTTAATATTTTTACAAAAAATAGTAATTGACTGCCAAACTTATGTGAATTTTACGTTATAAAATGAAATCATAATTTAGTTTTGAAGAAAAAAGTTTAATAATCCTGCAGAATTCTGTCATTTAACTTATTGGACAAAAAAAAACAAAACTATTATTTGTAAACTAAAAAAAAATCAACTGCCTATAAGTGCCTAACAACTTTTTGTATAGGTTTTTATAAATTGTAGAGTAAAATGAATTTCGCCTTCTCTGAACGATGTAAGACATGGGAAGATTGCAGATAAAGACGAAATTGTCTCAACTTCAGAAGATACGACGGATGCTACAAATGAAGATTTTTCATCTGATGATGATTCTTTTCTTTTATGGAAAAACTTGAATTTTATATTACAACTTTGGCACGGGATTCAAATAAATTTCTCCGGATACTTATTTAACGAAATATATGAATAGTCCAATATGTCATTTGTCATTTTTACATCTTCTTCGTGCTTGATAAATGTGACATTTTGTATTTCATAATCTTTTAATTCTAAATCTACTCGGAAAATCCCTATTTACAAAATATTTCTACTTGTGATATGGCTATATTAAATCCTCCACATTGAATTTTGTAATTCTGACTCCAAATTCGTTATCAGCAACCCCAAAAACCCCCAAATAACAAATTTCGGATCGATTTTGAAAGATTTTGACTTTTGGCCAGCTTTTTGGGATTCTGCCCCACTGTGCGACGACCTAAAACACTCATTCAACGTGCTTTTAGACCGTGCAAATCGCTGTATTAAGTCGGAAGGAGACTACTTTGAATAAAATAGATTGGTTTTGATACAAAACTTTTTGTTCTCATTCTTAAAAAGTCCTGTTTACATTGGAACGTACCTTGTATATCTTGCAAAGATGTTGCAAAAAAATATAATTTTAAAATAGTTCTTTCTCAGAAATACTATATATACTATATATTAATTACTATACCACGAAATGTTTGAAATAATATTTTATTTTTCCACCCTGTACAAGACAAACTAACGCGATTAGGTAAACTGAAAACAACATGCGGATATAAAATTAATTAATCTAATGCAAAATGTTGCATGCGCCAACCGTGAAACCATATTTCACTATTTCTATAAATATTTTCGTTCGGCAATGAGCCTTATGAGTTGTATATTATTCAAAACTGCATACATTTGTCAGTATCCTAGCCGAAGACTTAGTTACAACAATGAACAACAAGAACTTAGGATAGATTATTGTCTCGTGTCGTAATGGCATGTGCTAACACATCTCAACACAATCACAATACGACACCTCAGATACATACACTGACTGATTATTCTGACGTATTGTAATTCACGTATGTGTGTAAAGATAGATGCTAAATTTATTCAGTTTGTATCATTCAACAGATGGAGAATTTTCTCTTTGAAATAGATCAGTTAGATGGTGGAAAAAATGTTAGTAGCTATTGAAATAGAACTAAAAACAAGGTCTACTTGGTTGAGTTGTTGTTATATAGACCTTAATATTCGTATATTGAAAAGAGTGAAGATATTTTCTCTTCGAAAAAATGCAACAGGAAGCAACATAAATGTCGGCTTTGTTGAATCACAATCAGCTAGATCAAATCGGCTGTGATTTAGCAGACGATGGTTGAACTATGTTTCTGGCACTAATAATATGTCCCAGTAATAGCACACATAGTATCCACAAAAAATAATCATGGGTTCTAAACTTTTTAGCCTTGGGAAATATAGAAAACGTAGGTACTGGTAGGTTCGCATAGAATTAGTTACTTGAAGTTTTCATAAGTTTAGTGTTCGTGTTAATCAGTAACAATAGGTAAGTTCGGTATTGACATGTAGATGCTTTAGATGTATCTCTTTGTCTTTTCATCTCTTATAATTGGAAAATAACAAAACACATCTGGAGCGTCTAGACCAGAGGTTCCCATACTTTTTTTCTCATAGACCACTTTAAACATTTTGCTGGATCTGGTGGACCCCTTGCAGCTATTACATTTACTAACTTACTTCCGAAATCCGAAAAAAGTATGTCTATGGAAATCTGTGTTGTGGCTATTTTTCAATCAACTATGAGTTAAAAGTTTTCGAAAAAAAGGTGAGAATTTATATTGCTTTGATTATGCTGTGAGTGGATGTCATTTAAGCTAAGTCTCAAGGCCAGTCTAAAAAGCGTCTTCATCCAACAGTTGGATTCCTACTTTACTTTTTTGTATTCTAAGATTGACTCACAGTACAAGAAACCAATAAGCTCCCACTTCAGAGTGGTAAAAAGTAAAAATAAATATTTTCTTGTTTTGTAGCTATTTATTCAAACACAAAAATTACTACACTTTTAATTATGTTGTTATAACAGTCGTAGTAGAATCAAAATTTAACATCAAGACTAATAATTATTATTATTTTAAAAGCAGTCTCAATATAATCAAAATTTTAATTTCTACAATGGTAATCTGAGATAAAAGTTATAATTTTAATGCGAGGGATGTACTTGGTGAATTGACAGCAAATTATCAATATTTGGCTTGAGTTTAGTTAAGTATAACCGTAAATCTCCTCGCTCTGTAATATTTAATCTGCTCCGTTTTTTTGTCAACAAGTTTGTTACGGCACTAAAACTGCGTTCGACAAGATATGACGAAGGAAACGCTATGAGAAATTTTTCCACAATTCCCCACAGTCCTGGATATTTTTCAGGTATTTGTGCCTGCAGCCAAAATGATTGATACCCTCTTTTGAATGCTACTTTGAGCTCCTCATTAGTGCTAAGCTCGAGTAGCTCTTCTTGCAGTACCACATTTTCCACTTCAGTTTCATCATATGGATTTATTATCCATGGTGGTATATCCATGGACAGAATATCTTCAAATCTGATTTTAAAATCATCATACAGGGCAATCAAATGTTGAACATACATCTGAATATCTTCGTCGAGGCATTCTACCTGCGATAAATTGGGAAACTGGGAAAATTCACGTCGACCAATATTTTGCTTTATAAGTTTCAATTTACCAAGAAAAGCTGA